AGGCCAACCCTAATAGTTTGAGTAAATTATATTGATATCATGAGGTTTAATATAAGTAGACAAATACTCCATATTTTTTATACTCTTACAACAACTTTTCTTGATTGTTTTAGAAGCGTTACACATACACTTCTTATATTATTCTCCTCATCCCATAATAAGTGACGTTAGAAAAAAAAAGTTTTAAAATAAGTATTATCACTACTAGAAAAATATCATTTTCTTGCAAAAAAATATTCGCAGAAATTTTTTGCGAATTTTTTTGCGATAATAATTTCACAATTTTTTTTTACGAATTTATTTGCGAAAAATAATTTACAGATATTTCTTACAATTTTTTTATGAAAAATAATCTACAATAAATTTTTTGCAAATTTTGCTAAAATTTTAATGATCATAGAAATTTTTTCTATGGTAAAAATTTACAAAAAATATTGTAAGAATTTTATTTTATTTCTTGCATATTTTCTTGCAAAAATAAATTTGTAAATAATGTTTACTAAATGGTAGAAAAATTTTGCAGGTAACTTTTCCTGCGAATTTTCCTGCCAATTTTAATCCACAGGAAAAATCAAAAAAATATTTAAATTTATAAGTTTAATATTTAAATTTTGCTACAATTTTAATGATCATAGAAATTTTTTTCTATGATAAAAATTTGAAAAAAATATTGTAAGAATTTTATTTTATTTCTTGCATATTTTCTTGCAAAAATAAATTTGCAAATAATGTTTACTAAATGGTAGAAAAATTTTGCAGGTAACTTTTCCTGCGAATTTTCCTGCCAATTTTAATCTACAGGAAAAATAAAAAAATATATTTAAATTTATATGTTTAATATTTAAAAAAAAATTTCAAGTCTCACATCCATTGAAAATAAAACAATTATAGAGTATATAAGTTGGGGCAACACAGCCAACACTTACCTTACAGGTTGATTTGTATGGTTGAGTGTTAGACTTATAATCTACAATCTTAGAATTTAAAAGATTATTTATAGTAATTTCTTTAATTTTTTTCATAAAAAATATTCCTGCAGAATTTCTTGCGAGAAAATTCGCAGGAAAGTTTCTTGCGGTCTTTTTTTTGTAGGAAACTTTCTTGCGAATTTTTTTCGCAGGAAAATTTCTTGGGAATTTTAAAATTCGCAAAAACATATTATCCATGAATGTAAATTTCTTAGAAAAATTTGTAGGAACAACGTTTCCTGTAAAAATTCACAGGAAAAGTCGCATGTAATAAAAGAAATTCTAGTAGTGTATGCTAACTTTTACAGTATTAATTGTTCATGTTTTCATTTATATCCCAAATAATATTATTTAAAAAGTGGTTATTGTGTTATATTGTTTGTAGTAAAAAAATAATTACAAGATTAATTGGAGAGAGTAAATTAACTCTTTAATTATTATTATTATTTTTAATAAAAGCATTGCATTGTTTTCCCTTGTTATGGATGCTACCGTAAACGTTAAAAAAGATATTACATTACCTAGTTTATATAGACATCAAAGAAATAATGGTTTTAAGAATCAGTGATCTTTTGAAACAAATCATGTATAATAATAGTATATTTAAAAGAATATATATATATATATATATATATATATATATATATATATATATAAAATTCTAAATCCTCCTATTATAGTATCTTATTAATACTTTCTTCTTATGGTAGTATTAAATGAATTTTACATTTTCAAAAATATTTAATGCATTTATTTTTTTTCATTTAACATTTTTTTTACAATAAATAAAAACAGTAAAAATAATAAGAGAATATAATAAATAGATATAACATTACTATTAAGATTATGGATAAAAGAAAGGATTTTAAGGACACACTTCCATCTTTAACATGAAATCATGCACAATAATAGTAAGTTTCGGAAAAATGGAGGGAAAATTAAAAAAAAAAAAAAAAATCTCCTTCTCTCCTTTATATAGTAAGACTAAATATTTTTTAATATATTTTTAAGACTTTTAATACATTTATTTTTCATTTAATAATTTCTTTTTATAAAAATATGAGAATTTGTAAGAGGAAGTAAAATAATATAACATTAATTTTTGAATATGTACGAAATAAAACACTGTTAATGAATGAAATAAAAAGTATTTTAAGATGTAACAAGAACATTATTGTAGAGACATATTGATAAGTAAACACTTAATATATGGGATTCAACTCAATTAAATTAATTAATTAACGTGTGAGTTGTTACAAATTCTTTGATATTCATTCGATTTTAGGAGATAAAAACATACTTTTAATATGATAGCTTACTTGTTTTTCAACTAGTAACACTAACACTATCTTAAAAATGTATTTAATATTATCATAATTGATGAAACTATGTTTCATTATAAGGCATGTTTGGATGTATGTATTTCACATCTAAATAAGAATCACATCAAATTAAAGAAAAAATTATTCTTTATTATTTTTATTAGATGTAGAGAGAGAATAATGATCCATATTTTATATTTGATTCCAAATATGCACATAATTGATTTAGATCCTATGACATAAAAACTGAAGTACAACCTATATATGGAACATGTCCTCTCCATTAGCTCATTCAATTAATACATTTTTTATATAATCAATTTTAATAATTAAATTTGTGACTACTTGCATTGCGTGGCATTGAAAATTATATAGCATAAAGTTCATGCATTGTATTTATTTTTTTTTGTTTCGGTAAATATTCATGCACTGTATACACTCAAGTTGTGAATATAATTAGTTTATCGATAATATATATGTGTTAGAGACATGGACTTTTCATTGCCAACTTATTACATCTAATAACATCTAAACACACTTTGACGTGGGGGAGTGACACTTTGACCCCCATATACAATGGATTATCTTTACTATTTTCCCCGGATTGGCTGCTTATATGATATATGATATACTATGTATGAAGCACCAACCACAATAGTCGTATGTTACAACACTACTCATGTTGCTATATTCCTATAGTACTGAAAAGTTTCTTGTTTAACAACTACTTAAGAGATGTATGAAAATTAGTTGAATTGAACTCAATTCATATTAAAAAATAAACTACATTCACAAACTTTATTTTTCATCGAAATACTTATTTTTCTATTCAACGTAATTATAAATTAGTATCTAGACATACATTTAATTTTTAAAGTAATTTATAAAACTGATAATGTAACGTTGCTTAATTTTTATCATAAAATTGATAAAGTAGCATTGCTTAGTTATTATACAGAATGCGAGATTTTGTTTTATATATTATTTAGTCATTATATCCAACTTTGCATGATTGATTTGTCTCATTTAATATACATATAATAGTAATAATGATAATAATAAGTAATGATGATTACAACAATAACACTGTTACCATAATACCAGTTGACTAGATTATAATATAATGATAGTTACAATAACTGTTGAGAGTATTTAGCTTGTTAGGAATATTAGTCTTTTATAAATAAGCTTTATAAATAAAGTACTTATATGATTTTTTTTTTTAAAATCAATCAATACAATGAATTACTTTCCCCTTACCCTTTTTTTTTTTGTTATGGTAACAAAGTTTTCTCATGAAAAAAAGTTATGATTCCGCGACAACAAAAGAGAAGACATGAGAATTTTTCAGGATATTGGAGCAGATTGAACGAGACAACATTTAGGACCAACAAATTGAACAGACACAAGGACTAAAATAATTTTTGGTGCAAGCAAGACCTGGCAATTGCGATCAGTGTCGTTCAAGCAGCCGGGCTTGGACATGGTGGCCATAGACAAAGACCCAAAGAACTTGTACTGGAAAATACGGTTTCGTGACGTCAGAGCGATTAAGGAATTCCTTTGTTTTTAGTTTGCTCTTTGAATTGGGAAAAACAAAAATTGCATGCTTCGCATATGATCATTTTTTTTTTCTTTTCGTCTCATCATCCCACGACTTTCTTTTTTACAATCTTCCGGGGTATGGTTCTTAGTCAACATTAACAATGCTATAAAGTTGAATTAAAATATTGAGAATAAATAATCCAAAAAGATGGTTTTTGGAAATCATCTAAAACGAACCCCACGTCACAAAATGATAAATATACCAACTTGTCTTTTTCATCACAGGAAAATACAAAGGGGGCTGTTAGTTAGGCTGCCTGTTTCTTAGTCAATGTAAGAATGACGTTGTATATTGGTGGTGGCATTTATTTCACTAAGAGGACTCTAGAGAATCTTGTCTGCTTTTTTGATTTAAGGAGGAGAAACTGAAAAATCATTTGCAAATAATATGATTTTTTGAAAGTTCTAACAAGTTAACGATGTCTGTTCTAAGTATTTTAGCGGGGGTTTTGCATTGTGAGAAACAATATTTTGGTATTAATCCTATGGTATTCGGTGGTCATTTTTTTCACTTTGAGTTTATCTAATCAAGGGTTAAACTGAGTGCATTACTTAAGGGGCTGGGTAGTGGGTACATAAGTACATGTGCGCCACTAATGTTTTTTTGTTTTTATTTTTAAGAAAAATTGAAAATAAAGTTTAAAATGGGTTTGGTTATTATACTATTTCTATTATCACTTTTTTTATTCTCTTGCTTCCAGCGTACAACCAATTGTGCAGCAAACACTTTTCATACTTTGGTGTTGTTTCCCTTAAAGTGCCTTTTGTTCTAAATGCTTCCTCATTGTATGTCTGCATACTGTTTTTAAATGGTAGTAAAATAGTTAGGGCCTCCACTAGTGGTAGTATAGAGATAAATATGTCTTAAAGCAACTTCCTTTTATGTCTCACATTGAGCCTACAAAAGGGTTCCCTCACCATTTTGTTCTGTGACAGTGACACCCCTGCATTTTATGGCACGTGCACGTGATGGTTCGCACTATGTTACCCTTTGATAACTAGCTAGTAGACACTAGAGAGGATACACTAGAAGATTTGCACTATACTAGAGTCGAGACCAATCTCGTGAATGCAAGATCACACTTCTACTAGCTTGTTTAAAAGCTTAAAACAAATCCTAATATATATAACGACTTGAAAGCATCCAAAAACATAATAAGACTTGGATGTTTTAAAATACATCAATGCAAACCCATCCTTTACTCTATGGCATTATGAATGTGGATGTGTACAACATGTGTCCTCATTTGAATATATACATTGATTGGTTAAAGCAATGGTATTAATTACTAATTAGATAGAAAATGAAGAGAGGTGATTTTGGAAGAGTGAAAGTTAGCAGCAAGACGCGGAAAGGACTTGAGATTTGCTTGAGAGGCACCATGAGCCAAGAGGAAGAGAGCAACTTGCAAGTGGCCAGCCTCAGCAGCACAGTGCAGCGGAGTGTAGCCAGCATCATCGACAGTATCAACCTCGGCGCCGTGTTCCAGCAACACCTTAACGCTCTTAATTCGGCCCTTGAACGCGGCCCAATGCAGTGGGCTCCACCCATTCTGGTCCCTGCCGTCCACACGCGCCCCTTCCAACAAACACCTCTTAACGCCGTGCACGTCGTCCACCCTCACCGCGCGCATAAGCTCGTCGCCGCACCGCAGCAAATCCAGCAACCGCCTGCGCGCCTCCGACTCTTCCCTCTCCGCCGCTACACAAGACGCCCTTCTCCCCTCCCTATCCCTCACGCCCTTCACGTTTGAACATTCCAACAAACACTCCACAGCCTCCACGTGTCCTCCCCACGCCGCGTAGTGAAGCGGACTCCACCCCTTCCAATCCACCAAATTAGGGTTTCCTCCCATCGAAACGCAGAACTGGATTACCCTCACGTGCCCCTCGCCTGCCGCCACGTGGATCGCCGTCCTCCCCTCGCCGTCCACCGAATCCAAGTCCAATTCGTCACCGTACCGCTCCACCAGAAACTCCATCGCGTCGATTCGGTTCGTCGCCGCGGCCTCGTGTAAAACCGTGTCGTTGATTCCACAACCGGAAGCTTCCAGAAGCTTCACCACGTGGAGGCTCCCGGCTCGAATTGCTCCCGGCATTAGTGATTCCGCGGTTGCGTCGGCGCCGGCGTGGAGCAAGTCCGCCACGGCGTCTGCGCGGCCGCACTCGACGGCGGCTTTGAGAAGTCCGGTGAGCTGCGATCTCGTGCACGAGGATATGCCTTTGGTGAAGTGGTTGCGTGATTGGGAGGTTTGGGAGATGAGGAATTGGGCGACGTGGGGGCCGACGAAGGAGATGGTTAGGACGGCGTCGCGGAAGAGGTGGGGTCCGGGTTTGGAGAAGAGGCGGCGGAGGTGGTCGGCGGGGGCCTTGCCGGTGGGGAGCATGGTGGTTCGGACGGTGACTGCGTCGGGAGGGTCGGAGAGAGGGGGGTGATCGGAGGGGTGGGTGAGGTGGAGGGTGTAGGATGAAGAAGAGAGTGGGGGGATTATAGAGAAGGGTTTGTTGATGGAGAAGAGAGATGGGTTTGTGGTGGTTAGAGACACTGCTACTGACATGGTGTGCATGAGGTTTGTGAGCTTGAAGGTGGAGCTGCACTTTTGCCCCTTTGAGAACATCACCTCCACTTCCTTTGCTTCTGCTTTCACCAGCCTATCCATCCTCACCTCAACCTGATCGTTTGATTGATTGATTGATTCTCACTTTCAACTCTAAAGGATGATGCTTTTGCTGTTTGTTTAGTTTATGCTTGTGTTGATTGATTGTTAGACTAGTGTGATTAATTAATATATGTGTAGCATGCTTGTTGGTTGGGGTTTGAATGTGACAGGGAAGGAGGGAGACATTGACCATGACACCATGAGAACCGAGAAGGATATGAAATAGTCCTGCGGCGCGTTTTGAATATGGACAAGGATTTTCAGCGAAGACTATGACTCTAGAATGTTATTGCTATGCAATTCCATAGGACACGGAAAAGGTAAAAGAGTTGCCTCACACCTAAGGATTTTTTGCTGACTAGTTTTCCTGTAAGACCTATAATTCTGGTCGGAGTTATTATTATTTTTTCACTCACCAATTCAATTTCTACCCCTAAATGTTTAGATGGGAAATATTTTTCATTCAGTTTTTCAAAACGTTGGGTATGGGTGACAGGGTGAGGACGAAAAAAAATAAAAATAAAAATAAACCTCCTTGGCAAGTTGGATTGTCATATGAATATGCCTCTGAAAGTGAAAACGGGGAATCCCATGGAATCCTCAAATGATATTCCATCCGCATACGGTTTTTGGCCGTATGTGAATGAAATTGACAAATTGATTACTGGTTAATAAAAAGATGTAGTGGTTGCAACTTCTAGTATTTTTTTCTTTTTTTAATACAATTACATCATTCTCAGCAGCCATGCGCCAATTCTTTATGTTATTTATGACCAAGAATATAAAAAAATCAGTGCATCAATGGAATACGCGAGAATTTCCTCCGACATGATGCATATACATGCTGACATGCTAATAATTAGGTCTGGAAAATGAATCCTCAGAAATGTTGCCAGGCTATCCAAGGCATCTCTTTTAAGCAGTTGACCTGGGAATTCAAAGGATTACTCAACTTATGATGTCTATTAATCTTGTTTGGTGAAGCATTATCTTACTTGAATTCCAATAGTTTCTTTTTTATTTTGGTGATCCTATTAAACCTTTTTAGTATTGGAAATGAACACATGCACATAGATCTGTATTTTTTCTCACATTTTAATTCCCTTAAATTTGGACAAGTTTAACCTTGGGTTTCATGATGTTGATGCGTTTATATACTGCCCCCACCCAGGAAATCAGCATCTTTACTTGCAACTCATTATGGTCTTGTGGATGGTGGAGCGGAGTTCCTTCCTTTAGCACTATTTTCTGTTGTTTAAGTTTTTAATTTTCAGATTAATGTTGAACCTTGTATATATCCAAGAGTGCTCTTCTTGCGGTACTAGTAACTTCCGCCACTGAAACTGGCAGTAACTTCTTTACTTGGCAGTCATATTATCTTTTCTGCAGCTAATGTTTATACTTAGATCATTACATGACTTTATACCAGGAACAGTCGAATCATGTGGAACACGGCATATTTCATCATATAGTATAATTACTGATAGTCACTACCATCTTTTCTCCTCTCTCAAGAGTCATGAGGGAACAAGTAATTGGGTTTTTGGGGCATTATCCTGTGTAGTGCGGCCTTGTTTTAATATCCCCGAATTTGCCAGCAGGCAGCAGACTAGTAAGGTAAGTAACGTCATGCACTGCCAGAAATGTTCGTTGAATTTGAACAGGAATACATGGCAACGTTTGGTTAACCTTGGCGTGGTGGATATGATTTTAATTGTTAAATTCTAACCCGTTTCTGTTTCCTGCATTTCATTATGCTTAGGTGCCTAACCGTTTCTATATGATACAGAATGTGTATTCAGGATTCACATTTAGCAAACTTGAATTAAAGCCTTTGCCTGTTTACAGGTTCGAATATCCTTCTGTATTGATTATATATTTTTTTCTTTTTGAAGACAGCAGTCCAAATCAACGTGTCAAGCGGCATTGAATTACTGCGGTGTTTATTTATTTGTTTTCGAAAGTATCAGTATTTAAGGTAACTAATCATTTATTACTCGTTAATTACAACGTTTTGAAACATTTGTAGTTGTGAATATTATATTTTGTCCAAACTCACTTTTAATTCTTCTCTAATAATAAAAATAAAAAATGTTAAATCCTTGTTTTAGGCATAATAATTATAATCAAGATGTATGAAATTGGTTTAATATTTAGTTTAATTAGGTTTGTCCCAATTCTAAATTTATATGCCTTTACCTACATTAACCAATTTACATGCTTTCACTTGCCTTCTACATTTTACATTCTTTCAGTTTCATCTACATTCAGCAACTAACAGCGTTCACGGTGCTTTCACCGACATCCAACATTTGCATGCTTTCACTTAGTTAATGCATTTCCTTCATGGTATATTTTTACTTAATTGCTTGCACTCACTTATTTTCATCCATTTATATTAATTTTTCTCATCCGAAAGCTCTATATGCCTCCATCCTATTCCACTTTCTTGTGTTGGAACACAATACGCGTTCATACCTCTATTTGCTCTTATTGCAATAAAATATGCAATCTTGATATATCATTATATCAAAGAAGAAACAAGAGAGAACTGAGATTATTACTTTGTCCCCACCCACATTGAAATTATCTTTAATAAATAAATTAAAATTACAATAGGCAATAATAACTTTGATGATAGTAATAATAATAATAATAATAATAATAACCCCTCTATTGAGGATTCAGCTCACAATTAAGAATGAAGTAATGCATTGGTCCAAAACCATTGAGCTTAGTAACTGATCCATGAGGCTCAACATTGTGAACTTTTTGACGTTACCCCAACTCCAACACAGTCACGATGTACTATATTTGACGGCTAAGTTCTTTATGCAATGTAATAAATTTCACAGGATTCACTGAGGCATAGTCCACGCTTCATCAAGCAATAATCACCACTTTAACCTAAAAGAGAATGATATAAATAGGCCATTATGGCCTCATGTAATTCCTTCAACTTTTACACTTTTATTCTGCTCTTGTAGACACTGATTTGAGTGTCAAAATGGGTACATCATCAGAGTTCAACTCGTAATAATTGAAAATTATTTCATCCGAATATTCTTCCTTGTACTCGTGCTGATTCTGCTGGACAACATGGTAGCCGAAATATATGAAATTGGACTAGTGTTTATTTTGATTGGTTTGTGACCCAATTCTGAAAATTAATAATTTGGTTTGTAACTTGGGCCAGTGTTTATTTTAAATGCGTTTGGATTGAACAAAAACAGTTTTTGTCCCTTGTTGGTGACTCAGCACGGAAAACAAGTGCAAAGCAAGGTGCCAACTTTTTGGCATCATCCATATTAATTGATTCATAGGGTAGGGACGCTAAATTTATTCTTACGTTTATGGACTCTTTTTTCAACACATTCCCCCCATCATATATCTGTCTGCTATATTTATCCACTACGAACTTGGTTGCTTTCTTTTTTCACATTCATGCATACTCATTGATTTCAAAGTATAAGTTTTACATTTCAATCATGTGACAATCTGGGTTACTGTTTTTAAAAGACGGTAGTTTTTTTTTATTATTTTTTATGTTATATTTTGCTGGGTTTAGTGTTTCGGCTACTATCTGAAATTGGGTCAGCATATGTTCTTAAGTCTTGAACTAGTTGGGCTTAGTGTTTAGGCTAGGTAAAGAGCTAATGATGTGGTTCAGGCCTTAAGTTAAAGGCTTACGTTGCATAATTATTGGGCCAACTATGAAAGCGTGGTTTGTCCAATTTCGTATTCTAGTTGGATCTCGGCCGAACTTGTTTTCGCGCATGACAATATGATAATAAGGCCAATCTTAAAATGTAGTAAAACGTGTTCGAATGATATTAGGTTCGGAATTCTCAAACATTCTCGAATTTGAAAAATTAGTAGAGAGGAGAGTTCAATTAAGGTAAATCAATCATGTTCTTTCTTGAAGAATAGTTATCAACAAAATAGATAACGTAATGATTTAGAAAAAAAAATACTATTTTTATCCTATTCTAAAGTTAAAATAAATATTTTAAAAATCATCAATAATCACACAATTAAATATGATGTAATTATTTCTAATAGATGTATCAGGGTTATTATGAGGTTAAGTTTCCATCCTTCTCTTCGCGTAATCAAATTTCTAAATTTTGAAAAAAAAATTAAAATTAGTTTTCTAAAAATAAAAAGATCTGATATTTCCTAATTTTAATAAAATTGATTATGGCTCCTTTTCTATCGATAAACCTCAATTGTCTCTCATCACAATTTTTTGGCCAGATTGAGACACTAATAAAAACGACAATTAATAATTACTTTATGACTCAGTTTAGTTCAATATCCTTTTGAGTATCATATCACCTATTCCCCCTCCCCCAATAATATTGGGTTAGCTAGCATTTGTTTGTAGGAACTTTAAAGATAAGGGGTTGACATAGATATGAATAGACATATAATATGTGGATACACATAGGTTCATGTCCTTGTGATAGCATTTGCTTAGCTTTGGCCACGTTGAGTAGTTCACTTGAGATATGCTCAAGTGTACATCCAAAAACCACCTCTCTACAAAAACAAAGATCTTTTGTAGCAACTTCAAATTATTTGTTTGTACGTATAATTCTAAACTCCAGTCTAAAGTATTTTATAGTTAGTATTTATTACCATTGTGTGTTTGAGCTACTTTTGAATGACTTTTTTTTAAAAAGTAAAACTTAAATGTAATTGCATTTTATTTTTAATCATTTTATTATGATTAATGTGTCATTTTATTATGATTAAATGTAAGTATTTAATTTATTACACAAAATATTTACACATTTAATTGATTAAATCATTTGAAATTTTCTTTTCCTCAAGACTTAATTATTAAACAAAATGAAAAGGTGTATATCGATTTAATAATTTTATTTGTGTTATCTATCGGTCTATCACGTTTTAAATTACGATCATAAACACAATTTAATTTTTTTAGGGAAATGTATATCGATCAAATAATTTTATTCTATTTTTCTTTTTTCTGAATCCATTATTTTTATTTATACTCGTAAAATAATATGTTAAAAATAGTATTCATGCATCAAGCAAGGTTTCTACCATTTATTCTTACTAGTTTAGTACACTTGCTTTTCACTTTAACTTGATCATTCATACTTTATCATCTCCAATTATTTTAATACATTTCTTCACTATTGTACTTTTATAAAATATTTAATCCTTTAAATGTCAAGAATAAGTTTAAATGAAAAAAAACACGCTAAAGTAATTGAAAATTTATTTAAATTTAGTGACATGAAAATATATTTTAATTACAAAAAAATTATACAATAATTTTATATTATTTTATATTTATCAACAATTTCAACAATTAAATTGGTAAACATTTTAATTTAATAAT